CATCCAAGGCTCGCCACGGCCGATCCGAATACCCCCCAAAACTGAGGGAGTCGCTCCCCGACACGAGACAGGTGTGAACGCGCAGGACGCAGCCGTCCGAGCAAGCGATCCAGTTGCTGAAGACGGCGAAAGAGAGATTTGGCCTCGATTAGGAAGGGTGAGGTGTGTAAGGTGCGACATCCTGAAGTAGATCTCAAGAATTTCATTCCCTGCTATTTTGTTCAATTTGTTGGTACACGATGGTACACGTCCTTTCAATGGAATTGGGACTGACAGCAAACAATGAGGCGGCATCCCAGTTTGGGTAGTTCAATGATGGAGCCCACGCAGAGATCGCACTTTTCCCGCGTGGCCGCTGGGCGTTACCGTTTTGGATGACCTATTTAACGAGCAGAGCAGAAGACCCGTCCGGTGTTTCTTGCTCCGTCGGAAAGTGGAATGGGAAAGAAGCGATGGTTCAGAACCCCTGGATTTACATGTTTTTTTTGACCCACCTGGACCTCCAATCTCCATGGCCATGTTCACCCGAAACTCAGGGAGGTGGAAAGACCCTGGTCAAACGGGACGATTCGCAGGGAAGGTAGGAGCAGGGAAGAGGTAGGAATTCTGTGTTTTGTTGATCAACTTCATTTTGCATGACAGTCAGTATATGTCAGTGTACAAAAACAGGTTTCATTCAGAGAAGATTACCTGATTATTTGATAAACCTTGTTAGTCAAGAACTTGTTAAAAGCAGTATTTTCAACGAACAATTAATCACCCCGGCTGTGATTTACTTTTGTATAAGTATTGATTCCGTACTTCAACCGATTTCAACTCAGTTGAGTATACTCGGTGCTGCAATTGCACTACATTTAAGCAGCCATAGTGGTACTGAGATGTCGTGATTACCATTCCTTTACATGCATGCTCCATCTACACTGGAAACTGAAACCCATTACTTTGCCTCTTGATCTCAACCCCCCACATGACAAATATCTAGCAGTGGTGTAACTTCCCAATATTTCCCAATCCTTGACCAGTTGATCCTTAACCAGGGCTTTGCCTCACCAGCAAACTTTTCCCAAGTATCCATCTTTTACACTGCGCCCAGGTCTTGTGACATCTTGAAGAAGACGAACGTTGGTCGGATGCCTTCGGCCGGGCACATCTCGTCCTACACTAGCAAGTAATTTGATTAGGAGGGGGAGGAAGATCCAGAGGCGGGGACAGGGCAAGGATATTACAAGACTTCTTTAGAACACCTCTTTGCAAAACCTCCTTTCAAAACACTTGTCATCGCTTTTTGTAGCCGAGTCGTTGCAACGCAACTTTGCGCCAATTCTTGGCAACACGTCACCACAACACCTCTTTTCAAGACGTCTTTGCAACCCTTCTGTAAAACACTTCTCTGGACATGTTTCTACAACGCGTCTTTACAACACTTCTTGCCAAGACTTCTCTACAACACGTCCTTTCAACACATATTTTCATCAGTTCTCTAGATTTTGTACAACGCCTCTTTTCGACGCCTCCTGGCAGCACTTCTCTAGACGTTTTCATTTTCAGACACTCTTGCTGGACACTCTTGTCAGACACTCTTGCTTGACACGCTTGCTAGAAACTCTTGCTTGACACTCTTCCTTGACTCTCTTCTCCTAACAGTATTGTCAGACACTCTTGCTGGACACTGTTGTCAGACACTCTTGCTGGACGCTCTTGTTCAACAGTCTTGTCAGACACTCTTGCTTGACACTCTTGTCCGACACTCTGGTTGGACACTCTTGCTTGGCACTCTTGCTTGACACTTGTCTGGACACTCTTGCTTGACGCTCGACTGACATTGCTACTTATTTATTCTAAACATCGCTGTCTTTCTACTTTTCACGTTCCATTGAAATGTCTAGTTTCTCCTCACTTTCTTGGGGTAAATCCTTTCGCTATTGCAGCATTTTTATTTTAGAATTTTTTGAACTTGTTGAATGAAGTCCCTCAAAATTTTGTTCTTGTCTCTACACTTTTCCATGTCCTTGGCTTATCTCTTCAGTTGCCTATTGAAATCTCCACTTTTGCTCCATACTATTCTGTTGAAATCTCTGCTCTCTCTTCACTTTCACTAATATCTAGTACAAATATCACGTTTTTTTGCATTTTGTATGGCGAACTATTTCATGCATGTTTTGTTAATGCTACTAACATGTCCTATGACGCTCATTGTCATATAGGTGTGCTTTCCATGAGTCGTGTTCGATCCTTCTTCAATGATTTTT